TGGACTGTGCAGCTCAATCCATCACAGATCCAGGATAGGTCAAGTGTTTTAGATAAATACAACTTATTTTCCTTAACACAGTGCTAGAACTGCGCTGCTTTCCTGCTGAGCAGTGCTTTATTCCAGGTGTGCCAGCAGTCCTGTCACTTTCAGCATCCAGTAGACCCTGCTGTAAGATGAGCTTTGCTCTATGTTTTCAGACTGACCTTGAACTGAAGCCCATTCAGTGGATGATGCCTCTTTCAAACCTCTTGTGGTATGAAGCCGTCAGTGCTTGCAGAGGAAGCAAAAGGAAGTATTCAGAGCCCATACTGATCTCAGCCAGGTGGGCCATAGGCAGGATCACAGACTGTAGTGGAAACAGCACCAGTCTCTGTTCACCTGAGACACATTGTCTGCTTGGGCACACCTGCACAAATCAGACAGTTTCAAAGCATTATAGAAGTCTGAGTTGGGAGAGAGCTGTGGAGGCCAATCACACAGCATGGAAGTAATCAAAGTGGATATGAGATTTCGGGAAGAGTAGTTGGATGGGCAAGAGTGAGGTAGGTCCCCTGCATGTCACTAACAGCTGCACACATTGGAAGTGTGGGACAAGAAGATAATGGTGCTGGGGTCTTACCACATTATCTCTAATAAGAAAGCACTGGTTTTAAAACGATGCCACCTACCTAGAGAAGCTCAAAAGGCAAAAGGTATTTCTTTACAGATGATATTGCTGATCTAATATACTGTTATGTGCATGGGTGCACACAAATACAGATCTTTGCTACTGTTACGGACTTCTTTGATATCAAGACTGTGGAAATTAGAAATGTACTTAAGTACTGTATTTTTCCTCAAGACTTTTGCAGTAGGTCAAAACTCTTTTCTTCCTGACACTATGTTTTTTAAAAAAGGTATTTGAAAGCATCCATTATTAGACCAACCCACAGGCTGATGCATGTCTACAGTATATAAATAAATACTGGTCTGTGTGATATATAATGACCCATTAAAAATAAACTTTTCTGAAGAAGACAATTGAAATTGGAAGGGAAAGACATCTCGGTGTTGTTGGAAGTTTATCTGCTGTTGTGTGTTCACCAGCTCTTGGTTTTGCTCCACATGTGTGTTTGCTGAGGGCCATTTTCTCTGGTCATTCTGTCAACAAGTCACTTGTGGTTGCTCCTTACTGAAATGTGGTGGATGCAGGAGTATCTGTCAGGCCTGCGCAGACCTGCACATTGGAGCCAAGCTGGCATTCCTTGTTGGCCTTCCTCCCTTTTTGTTCCACAGACTTTAGGGCTACTGAAAAGCACTGAACTCATGTCGCAACATGCCAGCTGGTCCCAGAGGTTAGCTTAGCCCTGCACAAGTCCTTTGAGCCTTTGCAAGAGCTGCAGTGAGTATCAGTGCCAGGGGTGCTCTAAACTGAGGCTGACCCTGCATAAAGTGCACAAGGATGATTTCTGTGGTTGGCAAACAGTTTAACATGGTTGCATAACCCAGTAGCTCCCTCTGCCTGTGCATGTGCTTGTGCCTGTGCATGAAGTGGGTGCTTCTTCACCCCAGAGTCAGCCTTTGCTGAGCTTTGCTGTATGCATGACATTATTTGTAGATTAAGCCGTAATTTGTAGATTAAGTCTCTGCCTTAATCGAAACCTCTGGATACCAGCTCCAACCCTAAAAATTATGTTTCTGATTCCCTCCCTCCCTGCCATGTGCAACTAATCTATAGACTGCCTTGTTGCAGCCCTTTGGGGCCACCAAGAGTTGATGTGGTTTTGAGAGGACAGGCTGGTGGAGGGTGACCAAACACACAGAAAGCCACTGCTGGCTCAGTAAATCCCTGTGCTGCAAACAGGTAGAAGCTGGGAGGCCTCCTTCCTCACCCCTTTTTGGCTCCGGGTGATACTGGCCTGGAAGGATCTTGAGTCTTTACATGCTGAAGCCCTTGCATGCAAAAGTGCTAGTGCACGGCACTAATGCTGTATGCTGGCATGCTGCCCTTGAAAGAAGCATTGCCAGGGAGGTTGTTTCTGTGTGAGTTAATGTTTATCCCAAGGCTTCTCATCCATTATGAAGGAGGGAGATACGGGACAAGGCATTGCCCATGAGCAGAAAGCAGCAGCACCCTGTGGTGGGAGATAGCCCACAGTGCTGAGTTTCTCCCCCAGCTTGCAGGCTGCCACCTGCCCCATTAGACACAAGACCATTGCTGATACTCTTCCCATTTAAGAGCTCACTTTAGTGGCCTGAGCCAAAGCTAGGACTTCTCCAGATGTTTCTTAGTGCTAAGAGCTCCTCTACAGAACATAAGCTCTGCCTGGCCTTGGGACAGGCCAGGTGCAAAAAGACAAACCACTTTCCCCTGCCAGCACCACAATGGTGGAGCTGATGTAATTTAGTGCCCTCCAGGGTAGTTCCTGGAGCTCAGTGAGGGGCTGCGGGCTGTGCTAGATCGTGAGAATATCCGTGTGTGCTTCCTGCTCAGCCCTGGGAACGCTCCAGAGTGGGAAAGAGCACACCGGGATGTGTGGAAGAGGCGATACCACTAACTATGGTGAGCACATGTGGGGCGAGGGCTCCCCTGTCCCGCTGCAGCCAGACACTTGATTTAGGCACATGGTCCACTTGCATTGAGACAGAGTCCTCATTTCTTCTTAACTGATGGCTTCCTGCATAGTGTGAGGCCTGGGTTTGGGATTCCAGCTGGTCCATCAGTATCTGCTCTGCTTTTAAGCTTGATTTTCACAATACAGAACCTCTTTGGCATGTTCTGGTGTCAAGCTGGTAGAAAGCTTAAGGCAGCATTCAAGATAAGAAAAATTATATTTCAGGGTGCCTTGGGAAAAAATAGCACTCAGCCCAACATCACAGCCCCCTTCTAAAAACACCTTTATTTTTTCCTTTTATAACACCATTTTGTTACGTACAAAAGTATTGTTTATGGCAGCATTTTGCAGGTAGGAGAAGTTCCAAAAGGAAATTAAAGCCAACTGGTATTTTTTGCTTCATCTTTCAATAATTTAACATTTTTCAATGTGACAAAAGTTCTTGCACACTGGGGAGAGAGGGTGGGGGGAAGACAGGGAATGTCAATGCTACAAGACTAACAGGACTGCCAGTTCTGGCACTTCCATTACAAGGGTGTTTTAAATCAACCCCCCAAGCTGGTGGGTTTGGCATGGCTCAGCTTCCAGCTTATCCCCTTTGTGCTACCTGCCCCTTAAACATGGGTACAGTCACTGCACAGAGCTGGAAATAATGACAGCAGGGGAGGTGTTATATATGATGCTAATTGGGTATAATTAATCAGCAGCTTCCTCCATGAGGCTCCATCCAGACCTACTGTGGGCATGTCAGGCCCTTGTCCTCTGCGGGCTGGGATGAATCAAAGTACAGTGTTAAGTGCTGTGCACTGATACAACATATCCCTGAACTAAATCTAATTGAGGATATTGTCTCTGCAAACCCTTCACAGGGTCACAAGGCTTATAACCAAGCAGAAAGCTTCTGTCTCATCTCACTCCTTTCTGCAGCTGCTCTCTGCAAGGCAGTACCTGGCTCCTTGGGAACTGCCGCAGCCAGGCGAGAGGTGCTTTGTCTGTAGCTGCACAGATACCACGAATATGGCCCCTGCAGCACTGAGCAGCCACTGCAAGTGCCGGCTCTGCTCTTCCCAGTGGCTTGCTGCAGGTTGCAGTGCTGTATGTGGTTTCATGTGGGACGGTGGTGCTTGGCTGTGCTGCTGTCAGGCTCCCCTCCATAGCTAACTGCTGCCAGCAGCAGTAGCTTCCCACTTCTCATTAGTTTGCCCAGCCTGGGAAGAGATGTCCCAGGAAAGAAGTCAGAGAGCGGAGCTCACTCCAGTCACTAAGGACACCCCAGTAGAGACACCAGTCCCAGCCACCCTGTCTTAGACTGCAAAGGCGAGTGGGCAGCAAAACCATTCACTGTGTCAGCGCCTGAAACACCTCTGAGGAGTGGCACTTGTGCATAACTATATAGATGCCTACTGTGCAGGCAGCAGAAATGTTTCTCACCAATAACCTCAAAGACGTCTTTGCACCCCCTGTCAGTCCTGCATGCAGTCTTCTACAGCTCAATCAGGGCTGGAGCACAGTGTGTGTGAAAGGAAGCACTGGACACCATTTGTGCAGTCTTGCCATACCCGATGGCTCAGCCCAGCGCTGCCACTGCTCCCCACTGACCAGTGGGACTGAAGCATGGAGGTGAGCCTGCTCTCTCAGGCTCTCTTCAGGCAGGACCAGAGTGGTATTGGCTCAGTGGCTCACCTGTCCAAGGTCATCTCCTTTGCCTTTTGATCTTGGCCATTGATCTCCACTTGCCAAGTTCCTCATCCAGGGTACCAGGTGGGCTTGTAGTGCTGCCAGGGTACCAGCTAACCCCAAAGCCTGAATGTGAGTTCCTCAGTGACGAAAAGCTTTCTAGAGACATTTGCCACCAGTGAAGGCCCTGCAGCTTGGGTCCACACTTGCTCACACAGGCAAGGCCTGTGGGTACACACCGCAAAGATGATGTCAAGGTCCTGGTGCTGTCAGGACCGTGTTCCTAGGTGATTCCCTAGTTCATCACCTGGGAAAACGTACTCCGATTCACAAGGTTCTCCAGGCACAGCCCCGGGGGACCTATGGGTAATGGTGACAGGGAACTGTGCACATCGATTCAGGGAAAGAAGAGGTGCCCGAGCACTCTTCTGTGGTTACAGGGCTCTCCCTACGACTGCAGCAGGGCAAACCCCACGCTTCCCACGGCAGTTCGCGTTTCGGGGCTGGGCACGGGAGCGCTGCCAGATCGGACCCGAGCGCTCTGTACCGGACGCACCCCTGGAAGCGTTCTGGAGCTCTGCGGGCTCGGGCTCCCGCATCAGAGGGCGGTGGACGGCTCCCGAGCCCCGCTGGCACCTCCCCGATGCGGGGCGCGGCGTGAGGGGCCGGCCGGGGCGGGGTCCGCCGGCGGGCAGAGCTATCTAATCCCGGGTCTGGCACGGTTCAGCTCAGTTCCACTCCTGTGCGCGCTTCAGGATCCCCGCCACCAGCGGTAGGGTATGAGACCGGGGTGGCTGCGGGGTCCGCGGGGCCGGGACGCGGGTGGGCAGAGCTGGGCTGGCTCGGCTCCGCTCGGCTTGGTTGCCATGCTCTCCGCTGGACCCCCGCTGCCAGCGGCAAGGTGCGAGGTCGGGGTGATGGCGAGGGCTGCGTGGCCGGGATGCGGGTGGGCAGGGCCGGCCGCGGCACCTGCGGCAGCTCGGGGGCCTGCAGAGCTTGGAGGCTCGGAGAACGAGGCGCCTGCTCACCGCGCTCGGGCTGCCGCAGACCCCTCCTGCCACTCCCCGCTTTGTGCAGGGCCGCCGCAGCCGTGAGCGCATCGACGGCCGGGGATTGTGGAGGCCGCCCCGTGCCACGGGCCTCGGGCATCCCCCGGCGTGTGCGGCGGGAGCGGGGAGCGGCAGCGGGGCTTGCCGCTCAGCCACCGGCATCGGGTGCCGCAGCGGGTGCCGGTCGTGCCCTCCCCGGGCGGTATTCCGCCTGGCAGACAGAGAGCCGGCCCCGGCGGGAGCCGCCGCGATGCGCGGTCGGGTCAAGGAGCAACAGGGCTCGCCGCTGACTCGGGCGGCGGGATTCACACCGCTCCTCCTCCCGCCAGCCCTGCCCGCTGGTGCGTGGCTTGGCGTCTGTGTGACTGCAAGTGGTACAGCGAGAGCCTCATCCACGGCTCTGTGTGTGCGAGTGGTTGAATTTGGCCCCTTTGTGCTGTAGTCAAGGGTGTTTTAGGTGCTTGATGTCTGTCCACATCTAGTGCAGACTACGATGACAGCTACGTAAATGACATCTGGACCATTCTCTCCAGCAGCAGGGTCTCCTGGTGCCGGTACCCCTTTCTGGGCAAGCTTTTGGAAGCGGTCTTACTTTCATCCAACAGAGCTTTGGAGGAACTGTTTCTTGCCGTGGGTCTGGCTTTGGTCCAGCAGCTTTGACGGGGCCGTTGCGCAGGGCTATGTAATGATGACAGTACTTTGCAAACAAGTCTCCGGTGGCCTCGGGAGGCCAGCTATATGCAGCGTGTTGCCGAACACCCGTTGTTCACCCTGCAGGGAGTGGTACCCTCCTTGTCTTGCTCTGGAGCATTCTGGCTGTTCAGATTTCCACCCCTCACCCCATTCACTTAACCTCATCAGAAGGCACTGTGTTTGCTGCAGTCCCTCTGAAGGGAGTCTGCCTGGACAGTTTTGTTCTTTTCTGGCCTCTTGGGTGCTCAGGGGAAGTGATTTCTGCACTTGGGGGGAGGTTGGGTGTTGGTTGCCTTCTAAGCTTCCCAGTGCGGGCTCCCCAGTGGGTTAACAAAGGACCAGCTTGTGTAGCCCTGATGCTCCTTTTGTTTTCTCACTGGCTGTGCCCTGTTTGGATCTCTCCTGATTTGATCAGAGATAGGGGTGACTGCTGGAGACATGAAGGGAGTTCATGTTTTGCTGTGAGCACTTCAGGAAAACCTCGCGCAAAGCTGGGGTAGGCAGGATAGGGAGGAGCTGGGTGTTTCTTAGAGACAAGGGAAAAACGAGGTGTTTTCATCTGTGCTGATGTTTTTTTGGAGAATTTGTATTATTGCAGACAAGCTATAGCTCCAAATTAATTCAGTCCATTTGGCCATAGCAACAAATCAAACCCCGTCATCTCCGTAGAGGTGCCACAGACCTGAGAAATATGAGTCCCGGGCACTGGAGATGTTTGAACAAAGAGCCAGACATGGCTCTACCCCAAGGTCCCCCCGACCTGCCTTCCTCGGAAGCAAAGCAACTCTGCATAAGGGTGCCAGTTGTGCAAGTCCCAAGGGGGGAGGGAGACCACTGCCCTCTGTGGCTGCACCAGCCTGGCCAGCCCCATCACTCACCTCCATCCCATGGATCAGACTGTGCTGGCTGTGTGTGCAGCAGATCAGGGCACCTCCAGATGGGGTGGGTTTATCACTTTATTTTCTTTCCTGGATAATAATATTTGAATGTGTCTGTGTCTGTTGTTAGTAGCTAAGTAATGCTGGATTTTGGATTTCCTGGCTCCGTGGCAGGCTTCTGTGAGTCTTGTTTTAGGTGGGTTGGCACTGTGCAGGCTGCTGGTCTCTGGAACTGGTATGCTGTGCCTGTGTAAGGTCCGCTCTCCCTTGCCCATGGGCTCTCTGGGCTGCCAGATGTCCAATTGTTGTGCAAAATGGGTTTCGTGGACATACACGTGAGTGTGGATCCAGTTTCTGTGATATGAGCTGCAGGTGCCCAGGCACAAGAATGCTTCAGTGTTAGACTTGGGGAGAAAGCTGAAAGCTCTAGCAAATTCGAGAAGCAAAGGTGATGCTTTGCAGTGAGAGGCTGCTGCCCCAGAGGTGCAAGATAAGGTAGATTTTGCACGTGACTTTGCAGGCCGCTCCTATGTTGCAGTCAGTTTGTTGCCTTTGATGTTTTTGTGTTCTTCGGCGTGCAGTGACTGCACAGCATGAAGCCTCCATTCCACCCTGGTGGGCTCCGATTTCCACAGCAAGGGTTTCAGTGGGAGAGCTGTTGGAGGGTGAGTTGTGGCAGGGTATGACACAGACCTTCTGTGAAGAAACAGGGTGGGGGGAGACTGACCCAGATCAGTTCCCCACCATCACCTCCTGGTTGGCCCAAGGGGACCTCAGCAGAGTTCTGAACCTTCATGGCCAGACCCTGTCCTTCACTTTCATAAATAAGCCCTCTCCAAGAGAGTTTGCCTGAATTAAAAAAAAAACCCCAAACAACCCACTGTCTTATCCGAGTGTTCCTGTATGCCACTTACAAACAGCAGCAGTCTGTTTTAACAATAAAATATTCATTTAACAGTATCACAGTTGTCCAGTGATATGAGGACTGGATACTGCTGCAGAGCTTGCTGCTGAACCTCCTGCTCAGACACAAGGGCACCTGCAGACCCATCCCTACTGAGGCTGGATGGTGGCTGCACCTCCTGATGCACGCATGTGGGCTGGTCTCTTGCTTCCCTGTCAAGAAGACAGGAGTGATACTGTGGTGAGGTGTTTCACATGTAGTCATTACCTGGCTTCCCTGGAGTGCACGTTAAGCTGCTCTGGCTGCAGAGAGCCAGCCGAGGTGAGCAGCCCGTAGCACGTAGCAATTACACTGACGCGCCTCCTGCCTCTCTGCAGGAGAAACAGGAAAGACCTTTAGATCACCCAGGAGGCTGTATGGGCTGAGGGGGTTTGACACGCACAGGGTTATACTGCCTTGCGAGGAGAAGCCAGACTGGCCTAGTATTTCCAGGGATTTCCCCTCTGCGGTGCTCCAGGCTTGCCAGCAAGTCTCCATTTTGAAAATACACCCCCTCAGCGCTCCATTAGGGTAATGCTGGTGCTTACTATTTCCAAAGCACTTTGAGATTTGCAAATAGGACTTTCTGACCCCAAGCGAAGCAAAGCCCTTTCTGAAGAGTGGAGACATGCTGCTGCATGATGGCATGCAGCTCCAAGCCCTGTTCTCTCTTCTCCTGCTGACCTGCTCTATTTCACACAGTTTCACATTTTCCAATGCGGTGCCCAAAGCTTGGCCTCTCTCTACCTCCTGAGCATCCTTCTGGACTTGTGCAGGGGATTCTTTCTGGTCTGGTGAGTCGCTGTGCTCTTTAACTCTGTGCCACGAAACATGGACGTTCCTACCTGCAGAGAGGAGGTCTTCTGCACCAGTGACTGCACTGACTCTGTGGGACAAAGTCACAGTTGAAAATGATAAGGAAGACCAAGCAGTAGAAACTCCCACCCTTTGTGGTAATTTTATTCCTGAGATTGAGACAAAGTCCTTGGAAACTGAGTAGATAGCCTCAAGGAAACAGGAGAGGCCAAACTCCATCTTGTTCTTCCTTCTCCAGCTCTGGGAGCTGTGCTTAAACAGGCACAGTTGCAATGCTCCTTTGTAAGGAACCTCATATTGATGTTATTGGGAGCACTGCCTGGAAGCGTGAATTATGCCAGGAATGACCAGTGTTCCTTGTCATCCTCTGGTTTCTTCTATCTGCTCACTGAAATGAGCCTGTGCTGGCAACAGAATTGCAGGGTAATAGGCACAGAGGACCTAGGCAGCTCTTTAATTGCAATAGACAAATAGAAGAAGTCAAAGACTGTCTTGCTAACATCTACTTAAATGTAATTAGTTCGCATTATTTTTCTCTGCCATTTTCCCTAATTTAATTTAAATACCAAACTACATGCACAGAGGGACAAAAACAAAATCAGAATAGCATTGCTCCAAGTTCCTGCTCTCATAATATTCAGCTCCTCCTACATATAGAGGCTCTTTCCCTTACAGCCAGGGAAGATCGGAGTTTCTCTTCTGACCCCTCCTGCCTGTGGTCATGGCTGTAGCTCATGTTTCTCTGAATTTGTGAAGGTCTTGGTGTCAGTAACTGATGCCTGAAGTCTTAATTGAAAAGATTGATTTTGCTAATGATAGCCTGGCATCCAACAGCTTCCAGTAGAAATCAATATGAATTCAGTTTTTCACAGTTTTAAAGATCATGGCACTCACTTAAAAGTTTAGTAGGGATTGAAGGGCTTGACCCCCTTGCATCTATTTGAGGTTCTTGCCCCTGCTGTACATTAAGCCTTGTGCAGTAACAATGGGTGTGATGCAACTTGAAAACCAAGTCTTTGAGCAGAAATACCCAAGCCCTCACTGAGATTTTATAAGTAAAAGCTCAAGTGTAAAGTTGGCACTTATGTCTTGGCATCCAGGTTGTGTTTTGGTGAACTCTTGGTTCCTGTGGAGTCGAAAAGATCAGAATCCTCTTGTATCTTCATAGATAATGGATTTTTCAATCCAGCTGACAAACCAACATGAGAGCCAGTAGCTGGAAGCAGAACTTATTATTTGGTAAAATAAGGATGTGGTTGTGTTTTTTAGCAACAAAGAAGAGGAATTGTGGGAAGAGCATCCCAGGATGATGCATTGCTAGAAACTTGAACAGGATGATCTTCTCAGTGCAGACAGCAGTGTTCTCTGGAGGTAGTGACATCTCTCAGCCTGCCTTTA